GTTTAAAAACCAAAAAACAATTAGCATGCATGTTCTACAAAGATCCATATACATGTAAACATATAATTGATGTCATGTATTAAAACCAATATTATCCTTAACATACACCACCACAAAATAGTAGCATGATAAAATAATTTTGTACATATGTATCATCCCATTGTAAGTCTCATGAATACTTACCTGATTGCATGTAGATCGGCTATTGATAGCTCACATCCGAAAACCTACACATTTCATACCACCATGTCCAATTAACGTCTTAATTTCTCCAAAGTCAAATATGGTCAACCCGACCCAATCTATGTCAAACTTCATATCCAAACATCCTAATATACCTCAAGTAACTCAATTTGACCCATCATTAAAATCCATACGAGTCAAACTAGTCAAAAGTCAATCCTTAGTCAATTCAGTCAACCCCGGCCAACTTTAGTCAAATTCCAAGTCTATAACTCAATGACGTCCCAAAACGTTAAATTAATCATTTTATAACTATATAAAATCTTTGTTCCGAATAAAAGAGTCCCACTAATTTATTAAGCCCAAAATACGACACTTTAAACCCATTGAGCTCGAAAATGACTCGTTTCTTGCTCCGTTTTCTATGTTTTTTTGGACCATTTTGTAAAATACATTTTTACCAAGGTTTTGACATAAATAACATACATTTTCATCAAGTAATGAGACTTATTTCTTCTTTTTAAAGTTTTAGTTTTAATTAAAACTGAACAAAACTTTAAACTTCAAAACCAACCCTTAAAACACAAATTTGAAACACAAGGCTATTAGGGTTCGATAGATAATCTAAAAACACAAGCTCTCTTCCTTGCCCTTCCTTTTGCCTTTCAAAAAAAAAAAGTATGTTACCTCCGAAAGACGAAAAACCAAAGTTTTTGAGACTGAACTTTGAGCTCTGATTTCTCTCTCAATACATGGTGAAAATACGAATGGTTTGAGCCCAAATGAACCCTAGCCGATGCCCTTCATTTATATGAAAACGTTTTTGGCGTATTAGCTGAAATTTTGAGGTAATGAGATATTTTTAAGACCAACTATCGAAAAGTCGCCATCAAGAAGTCAAATCTGAAATAGTGTTGTCCTTTTGGCAGAACATGCCCTGCTTTCAAAGGTTTTAAACTCTGTTACCCCCTTTAACTTCTTGAAATTTACATTCGGTCCCCTAACTCAATCATTTTATAACATCTTTGGTCCAAAAGGAGTTTAAACCCATTTATTTATATATCACTCTCATTAAATGACAAAAATATCTTCATAACTCATTTCTTTACATTTTTTCTCGAATAAAATAAAACCAATTTTATTTTATTTTATTTTTCCCTTATGCTTTTAGAATAATCATTTATCCTATTTTGGCGTGTCACACCACCAATTTAAAATACCCCTTTTTGTGTTTATCAGGCTTTCAGATAATTCAATCTCTTTAATGCTTCTACTTCATTTAATCCAAACACCATTGTCCACCACAACCACCACCACTGATCTATTGCGTTGATGAGTTGGGGATTTTTAAGTAAATGAAGTCTAACCATCAAAGAAAGAACAATTTATAGCCATTTCGAGAATTTCTTTCAAAAAAGTTGGGCTTCAAATTATTTACAGGTAGAAGGAATAAGCCTATCGAGAAAACAAGTAAATTAAAGAAGATTGTCTTAGGAGGCATTTAATTCATTTTAAATCCAGATCATGTTCTTCGGAGGGTTCGTTAAACAAAAAAAAACCCATATTGGGAGAGGGAGGTGGACAAAGAGGCCATGGGGTTCACCAATGGAGGTCGTCAGAGCTGAGGGGTGGGTTGGTGGCGAAGACAACAGGGAAAGCTGGAACAGGAGGTTGAAGAATGGAGTTGTAAGGAGAAGATCTACAACATGGTGATGGAGACGTGGAAGAGTTCGCGGCTGATGGAAATCGGGAGGGAGGCATCGGGTCCGTCGGCATGGAACGGGAAAGATGCCTTCTCCGGATTGGGTTTTTATTTAAGTTTTCCATCATATATATAGGAGCAGTTTCAAATAAAAACCGAGTTTCAGTTTCACATGCACCTCAGTGTACTTATTTTAAAATATGAATCATATCCAGATTCTGAGAGAAACCAAAAGGACCAACAGTGTAATTTACTCTAAAACATAACTCTAATAGTATAATATGTTAATTACTACAAATAAGATAGTAAACAAATATTAAATAATATAATATATTAATTAAAATAATTTTAATTTGATTATTATATATT